CATAATGACCCTATAGGGTTGCTGAGAAGCAGCTGGTGGAGTTGAACTGCTGACCTTATGGTTCGCAGGCCAGTGCAATACCTACAGCACTGCACCAGGTTGTTGTTGTTGTTAAGTACTGTTGAGTCAGTTCTGACCCATCACAACCCTGTATGGGGTTTCCGAGGAGCAGCTGATGGGCTTGAACCACCAACCTTGCAGTTGAAAGGCCTTTGCAGTGTGGTGCAATTAACCCACAGAGCCACCAGGTAGCCCCCATCCAATTTTTATTAGTAATAGGCTATCTTTTTTTAAAGTTGGTTCATTTCTCTTTCCTCAGAGATTATTTTTAGGTGTGACAGGATAACCATTTTTTTCCTAAAGGTAACAATTCTTAAGTTGTTTTGAACCATTCCTGTTCATTCTTTTATACTTTTATTATGCATTTATGTAATGAGAACAATATAACATATTGATTTGTTGCTGTCGTTGTTGTTAAGTGCCATGAAGTCAATTCTGACTCATAGCAACCCTGTATAGGGTTTCTGAAGCTGAACATCTTTGCAGAAGCAAAAAGCCTCATCTTTTTCACGCAGAGCGACTGGTGGGCTTAAACCACCAACCTTGTGATTAGTATGTTTGCAAACTATACATAACTTTTCAACTTATCAATATCGGTATTGTACTAGATGTGAAATGCTTTTTCATGGATTTCACTTTATTAATGAAGGTGACAAACTTTTTTCATAATTTAGGGATCATTCCCATTTACTTTTCCATCAATTGTTCACTGCTCATTGGGTTGTCTATTTTTTCTTGCTGTTTTACAGGAATGTTTCATATACATTGGACAATAATCCTACCTTGGTCATATATAAAACAAATCTCATCTGCCAGTTCTTAGTTTTGCCTGTGGGTTATTTTATTTTATAGAAATTTTATATTAAACTTCCATGGATTTGGTCAGATTTTTTAATATTGTCTTTTATGGTTTTTGTTCTTATGAATGTTTAAAAGAAATTCTTTCCTTCCTCAGTACCATACTTTTTCTTTGAATTTAAATATTAATTTGGGGAAAATTAACACCTACAAGACTGAATATTTCTAATCATGTTATTAGATACGGTTTATCACGCCAATGTAACCCACTAGGATTATGCATCTCTTTTGAAATATCTAGTGTTTTCATTGTCAGTATCACTTAAAATTCATTGTCAGTATCACTAACTTATTGTTACTTATATACTTCAACTCTGTTGATTTTTGTGTATTACACTGTAGTCAGTAAACTTGCTGAATACTGTTATTAATTCCAATGATTCCCCTACACTTTCTATGACACAACTGAAAATGGTTACAAATAATTTGCTTCTCTCTTTCCAATATTTATACCTTTTATTACCTCTCCTGGTTTTATTGCATGAGGCAGGAATTCTGATTATATATTCTGAAAACAATGATAATAAACATTCTTATCTGGTTTCTACCTTTAATTGTGATGCTTTTAATTTTTCATTTTTCAGTATGTCATTTGCTCTAAGAGTTGGTAGCTAGTCCTTATCAGGTTGTTGCTGCTGTTGCTAAGTGCCAGCTCATAGCAACCTGTATAGAGTTTCTGAGGAGTGGCTGCTGGATTTGAACCCCAAAACTTGTGGTTAGCAGTCCAGTGCTTACCCTACAGCACAATGCCAGAACTCCTTTAGCTGGTTAAGGACTTTCATTTTTATTACTCTCTTGCTTGATATGTTTATCCAAATAAATATTGAATTTGTATGCTTCTCTACAAATTTTTCTCCATTAATCTATTAATGTGGTAAATTACATTAATGCATTTTTTGGTTATTAAACTATCCTGGTAATTATTTGCGCATCCTCCAAAGTCATGACTTTTTCTTATATAGTGGCTGATTGCATTTGGTAATATTTTACTTTCTACTTAAGTCAAAACAGTCTATAACCACTTTCTTGTCCATCCTGCATATTAAAATTGCAGCTATCTCATAAAATACACCACAACTTCCTCTTTCTCTTCTGTCTAACTGGTTGATTCTGGAATCACTTATTTCTGGAACTCAGTCCAGGGCATTTTCTAAATGATTGGGAAGCCATAATCAATATTTCTTTTGGTGCTTCAGGATAATGCACTGGACTGCAAGGTCAGTTTGAGCTGCAAGGTTGGCAGTTCGAACCCATCAGCCGGTCCTCAGAAACCCTACACAAGGTCACTATGAGTCAGAACCAACTCAATGGCCACTTAACAAAAACAACAAACCTTTGAACAAAATTTTTTTCTATCTGTAACGTTTTCAGGGACCACTTTCATCTTGTAAAATCGGCTCAACAAAATAAACACAGAAAATCCAAAACTGCGTTTCGATCTGTCTCACATTCCATTTTATCTAGTAATGTACTTAAGGAATCAAATGAACCACACACACACACACACACAAACTTTCAGGAGGAAAATTTTATTATCTAAGTCTGAAAAGTATAGAACACAATCACAAGCTGTACTAAAAGGAAAAACTAAAAACAAAACTATTCTTCATGTACAAGAAACCAAAAGCTTATAAAACACATATAAAAGATAATTTTCAAGTGTCCACAAGTAGTGTTGCTGCCTTATCAAAATCATTTTTTGAGAACTGCGGGTTGGGGGTGGGGGGCAGGAATAAGTTTTCCACGTTAACATTGAATTTTGACATTGGATTTTAACGTTGGATTGCTCTCTTCTAATAATCACTGCAATATTAACATTGGATTTTGACATTGGAATGCTCTCTTCTAATAATCACTGTAATAGAGTAGTGGAGGCAGGAGGTGGCAGCAGTGTCCACTCAACAAGCTGTGGGAACTGAAGGAAGCCACCTTAGCCTGTCTAGAAAACTTACCTCTCTGTAAAGGCCCTTTATAAATGAAAAGAAAGATAATGTATTACATAAATATCACATACTTTGACTGTTTTGTGTCTTCTTTAATTAGAGAATTCATAACAATCCCATGAGAATGGCAGGTTTTAATCTTCTGATTTCCTCTTTGTTATTTAAAACACTTGGTGTCATCACAGTTTTAGGACTTTTGCTCTGTTCCCCTCTTCTATCTTTATGCATTCTTTTGTGTCTCGCTTAAGCTTGTCCTTCTCACTATTTTTTATTAAATCATGTTGTTGTTAAGTGTCATACTGTCTATTGCAGCTCACAGAGACTTTGTATAGGGTTTCCAGGGATATTCCCAGGCAGAAGCAGAAAGCCTTATCTTTCTCCCACAGAGCTGCTGGCGGGCTTGAACTTCCCACCTTGTGGTTCCAAGTCTAGGGATTCTTCTACAAATAATAAGGACAGTGGTAATAAATAATGATAATAATATTGCTGGTTTTAAGCGTCAATAAGTAGGTTCCGACTCATAGTGACCCTGTACAGGGTTTCTAAGGAGCGGCTGGTGGGTTTGAACTACCAACCTTGTCATTAAAACTGACCTTGCAGTTCAGTGCTTACTTATTGAATATTATGTGTCAGACTCTCTTCCAAAAGTTTTACTTATTTTATCTTCCATAATTCATACAATGACTCAATGCATGGGGCAGTACTATTATTACTCTGAGCCCTAGTGGTGCAGTGATTAAGTGCTCAGCTGAAAAGAGTGGCAGTTTCAACTCATCAGTCTCTACTGAAGAAAGATGTGGCAGTCTGCTTATGTAAAGATTGCCTTGGTAATCCTATGGGGCAGTTCTACTCTGCAACAAGTTTGGTTTTGCTTTTATTATTATTTCCATTTTATAAAAGTAGACACTGAAGCACAGAGAGGTTAAGGAAGTTGCCTAAGAGGTTAAGTAAAAAGAGCCAGAAGAGCAGCATGGGTTGTCTGATTTTGGTGCTTGTATTCTACAATATCGGAGTCCTGGTGTGGCAGTGTGGGTTAATGCACCAGACTATAAAGCCATTTGAACTGCAAGGTCGGCAGTTCAAGATCACCAGCTACTCCTTGGAAACCCTATACAGGCTCGCTATGGGTCAGAATTGACTCGACGGCACTTAACAAAAATGACAACTTTCTACAATATCACTTAAAAGATAAATTAATCAGAAGGCTAACCCAGAGTGCTGGTGTGGTGCTGTAAGATAAGCACTGGACTGCTAACTCCAATGTCAGCGGTTCAATCCCACCAGTCTCTCCTTGTAAACTGACTCAACGGCATTGAGAACAACTCCCTGTCAGTATACAAATTAACAAATATTTTCATTCCTTTAGGAAAAAAGGCTGCTTCAAATGATTTAAACTCCTTTGAGAATTATAACCACAGGTGAGAATATGAGGCTACTGGCAGTTCAGTAAACAGGAGATATCAGGACAAAGGAGACACATTTCAACTACCTATGGATACTTGACAAGTTACTCGCCACCCAGAATTTGTCTTTCCTCATTTGTTAAATGGTTATAATAATACTTACTGGCTGTACTGCTGACTATGAATTTCCCTTGGGTATGGTTTGTCCTGGTGTGGTGCTGTAGGATAAGCACTAGACTGCAAACCAAAAGATTGGTGGTTCAAATTCACCAGCTACTCCTGGGAGACCATCATAAGGTGGCTATGCTTCAAAATGACTCGACAACCCTTAGCAACAACAGCAACAGCATAGAGTCTGGAAGAATGAGGTAGAGGAAAACAAAGGGTAATACACTAGGGAAGAACATTAGGTTATCACTTCCACTGATGAGTATTTCAAGTGGTAAGTGCGTAATAAATGCTTGTTGTAAATAAATAAATAAATAAATAAATTTACAAAATTAAAGAGTCAATGGGTACTTTATATATGTGAAAATAGTCTTTCCAAGAATCTGATATGCATTTTAAAGGACTGGGGTGAAGAGATAATATTTATTTAAATAAAACTAAAGAGGAATTCTTATTAACCTTTAGCTTGAAGATGTTAAATTTCAATTTATGACACCAATTTTTATTCTGATATGCTTGTGTCTTCATTTGTTTAATCATTCATAAAATTAACTGGTTCCTCTTCTAGACCCAAAACGGAAGATGCTTGGGTATTTGCAAAGCCCAATGCCATTCAGGCTGTTGGTGTTATGTCATTTGGTAAGTACATGCTTTCCAAGGCCCCTTTGCAACATAAAGACATGTGTAATGTGAAAAAGTGCCATGTTTGTGTCTGACTAGCAGATGTCCTAACTTTTAGACTTCCTATTAGTAGCAGATGATCTAGTTTGTGCCAACATAAAATTAGGCTCAAACTTTTCTCACTCATCACTAACATTTCTTCCAATTTGGCCAAATCTCTGTGCAGAAAACTCATTACAGACATCTTGTTTCTTAACTTGGAAGTCTAGCAAGTGTTAAGGACTTCTTCAAAACCTTGCACAAGAAGTATTACTAATTGGCCAGATGTCTAAAACTACTACTCTGTTCTAGCCAAGATGCCAAGGAAGCCATTGATTGAAAATATGGTGTTGTTTAGATTTCCCTGAAGATGGGAAAGGTCATTAGAAAGAGGAAGTGGGAAAGTTTAGTAAGTCTGGTTCATATCAAGAGTGACAAGAAAAGACTACATAAATCTGATGTGAATTTTCTCATTTCTAGAGCTGTTAGAAAAGATTTTTCTGACATATTTGGTAGATTAGTACATTCTACGTGCTAAATATACATCTCTGAACTAATTTTCAAGTCTGGAAAAGAAAGCCCTAGTGCTTGCTTTAATAATCCTCTCCCCCTCCCCTCCCCTTTTCTTTTTTTTTTTTTTTTTTTTTTTTTTTTTTGTATTGTAGCATTTATTTGCCACCACAATTGCTTCTTAGTTTATGGCTCTTTGGAAGAACCCACAGTAGCTAAGTGGTCTCGGATCATCCATGTGTCTGTCTTGGTTTCCGTATTGATCAGTATGCTATTTGCTACCTGTGGTTACTTGACATTTACTGGCTTCACACAAGGTAAAATGAGATATTCAATCTTATCCTATCATTTGGTGCTCATGTGGATTGATGCTATCACCAGTTTTGAGGTACAATTACACCCACTGTTGTACTACAAAGTATGGCTATCATTTTCACCCATCTCTCTTCTATCCCTCTGCTTCTCTGCTGTATCTGTTTCCTAATTTTCTCCTTCTTTAACTGCTGAACTTATTTCTGTAATTCATACTCTTTCCTCTCATCTCCTCTCCATCCAAACATTTGAATCTGGCCTCGTTCTCTTTTCTACTGCAGCTTCACTTTCAAAGACATCAGTGGCCTCCTATCTTCAGAGCTGGTAACATTCCTGACTCCGATTATTCTGACCTTCTCTGAATCACTTAACACTACTGAACATCCTTTATTTGTTCCCTTAGAGGAAAAACATTACTATACCATTAAGGTTATTCTTTTTCTCTCAATGTGTTGGGGTTTTTTTTCCCCTTCAAGTGATTCTACATTTGCTGCCTCCTCCTCCTTACACCTCACCCAATGCCTATTAATTAGCTCAAGCATGCTACCTGATTTACTTCTTGCAAACTATCTGGGTATTGTTTAAACATAATCCAGACTTTTTTTTCATCATCTGCATGGTGCCTTGAACACAAAATGTCATCTTTCCCACAAAGCTAGTCCCTTCTTTCCAGCCACATTGCTCACACCAAACTCAAGTCTCTTTTCTTCTGCTTATCCAAGCTCAACAAGTGCATGCTCATCTCATCTGCCTCCTTTTACCCTTGTATTTAATTATCTATATAGTATAATATTTAGGGTATCCTGACAGCCTGCTAACTGCTGTGATTCATACATTTCACAGCTTTTGCAAGTCTATTATCTCATTTGACCTTTAAACAACCTTTTGAAAGTAAGTGGAATAACTAGTTTTACCCCATGCTTAATGCACAAAGAGGTAAAGTAACTTGCCCAAGCTAGCTGATGACAACCTAAAAAACAAATCTGATCCCCAGTTCAGTTTTCTTTCCATTCTATCTTTCTGCCTGCCCATTTTGGTTAACCATAACTCATTCAAAACTGTCTTTCATCCTCCAGCTCCTTTTAGCTTCATTTTCTGGTGGCACTGAGATGCTCTTGGAAGGATGACTGAATTGTTTCTAACAGAAGATATAAGTGTTCATGATTACAAGCAAATATGTCTCAGGAGATAAAGATGACATCAAATATAGTGATTAATATCAGAACAATGAAGTCAAAAATCAATGTGTACATGAGTGCTATTAGAGCACAATAACAAGGCAATCTAGAATGTCTTGGTAAGAAATGTGTCACACATTGCTGTTACCGCTATTGTTACGTACTTTGCCAAAGCAAAGAACGTACGGGCTTCCATTAGTACAGAGCCTTGGCTTTTAATGTTTTCTCTGTAACACATAAGTCTGTTTTCTTAATCACACTTTCCTGGTGTTTTTACCAGTCACAATAGATCAGAAACAAATCATTACATTAAAAACTGGAAGTCATTTTTGTTTGTGTTAGCTCTGTAGGATAAGCACTGGAGGACTTACTGTTGTTTTTGTTGTTATGTGCGGTCAAGTTGGTTCTGACTCATAGCAACCCTGCATAGGGTTTCTGAGGAGTGGCTGGTGGGTTTGAACTACCGGCCTTGTGGTCAGCAGTCCAGTGCTTTTTCTACAGGACCACACCAGGACAGAAACTATAAAGGGTCGCCAAGTGTCAGAATTGACTCTCTATGCATTTCACAGCAACATAATTTCCTAAACCACAGTTAAACTCAGGCTAGAATAAGCTGGCATTGTTTCTTGAAGCCATTTCACCTTAGGCAAATCTGATCTTGTTTATATAAGCTGCATGCTTCTTTCTTCCCCTGTTTTGGTAGATGAACTCGTTTCAAAGCAGGAGGAGTTCTAGATTCTTCTTGATATACCTAGTGGAAATTCTAGATTCTGCTTGGCATTTCTTAGTGAGTTTTGAAAAGATGGAGGGCCCGTTTCTTAGTGGAGAGGTTGGTGAAGGGACGCTTTAGTTCTTTTTTTCTCATAATGCTGGAATCTTCAATCAACTTTCAAACTGATTTCTATCACTTATGCTTTGTTTTTAATCTCCTTTTGCCCAAAAGGAGCACTAGAGAGGTGTCCATTTGTTCTGGTGAGGGGGAAGAGGGGAACAGAGTCACTGAAAATAAATCTTAGGAAGTACCAGGTCAATTAGGGTATTAGGCTATTTAAAGAAAAAAAGTACAGAGGAATTGCTGTTTGAATTGAGCATGTGATTTTGATCCAATCTGATGTTTGGTTTAATTGAAAAATATGACCAACATTCTAAAATTTAAGAGTATTAGATTCAGAAAATAAAAAGCTCAAATACTCTTTGTTTTAACTTTGGGAAACCTTTTTTTGTTGACATGACTTCTGTTCCCTCATTACTTGTTGCCATCTAGTCAGCTCTGGGTCATGACAACCCAGTATGTGGCTTAGTAGACAGTGCTCCATAGGGTTTCCAATTACTTGTATTTCAGAAGTAGCTCACCAGGCCTTTCTTCTAAAGACACCTCGGCTGAACTCAGATCTCCAATCTTTCATTTACCAGCCACAGTGTCAACGTTTTGCTCCACACAAGGGCTCCATACCCTCATTAGATCCCTGTACTTCTTCAAAGATATCTGGGTATGTAGCCATGGTCTCTGAATAATAATTGGTTCAAGGTACACATGGCTGTCATTTAGTTTGTTGTTGTTAAGTGCTGTTGAGTCTATTCCAACTCATAAGACCCTGCATAGGATTTCCAAGGAGTGGCTGGTGAGTTTGAACCTCCAGCTGCTCCTGGGAAACCCTATACAGGGTCGCTATGGGTCGGAATAGACTCGATGGCACTTAACAACAACAACAACCTTGTGGCTCAAGGAGATCTGGTAATGTAGTGATTACGAATTGGGCTACTAACCTCAGGGTCAGCAGTTCTAAACTACCAGCTGTTCCGCACTAGAAAGATGGGGCTTTGTGCTCCCATAAAGATTTACAGCCTCGGAAACCCTGTGCAGGGTCGCTATGAGTCAGAACTGACTTCATGGCACATAACAATAACAACCTTGTGGCTCAAACCGACCTTAAAATCCAGTACTTTATCCCACAGTACCACACCAGGTCATTTAGCTTGTCATGGTTAAATATAATGTCCTTCCTACCTAATAACCATATTTTCACAGTTTTAAGTAAATGGGTTTATCAGATGCCATGAAAAATACTGTTATGTTTGGAATTCCTTGCTGTGGCCCCGAGATTATCGTTAAACCCTATAGCATGCATGCAGGAAATTCAGCTCCTCTGATGTACTGGTCTACTCTTCCTTTCAGTATTGTCCTTGATCTAAGAATAGCATTTCAAAAGGAAATTTGTTTATTTTAGCAGTCTTTATTTTATTTTTTTAATGATGAAGTCACTTGCCAGAAACAAAGCCCAGGAGCAAGCTTACAAAGCAAATGCAAAAGAATTTGGAGAGTTGATTCTGGTGTGAGAAGACAATGGATAAAATATTTTTTAGAAGCTGGTGTAAATTTATAACAAACGTAGCAAAACAAGTGGTAAGAACATAAAAAAAGAGAAAAAAAAACTATGAGTGATGAATTCATCTTGAAGAGGAACAAGTATTGGTTTGAATGTCAGTGAATAACTTCAAAGTATTAGATTTTTTAAAACTTACACTTAGACCAGGTAAGTTATTCTCTTAATGAAATGAGATAGCACAACTTCACATAAAATAAATATCCAATCTCTCACTACGATAAATATCTAATCAGTGAGAGATTCCATGTGTATTTCAAGTATCCAAAATCTATTAAATAAACTGATTTTATATTACTATCTAGGAGACTTATTTGAAAATTATTGCAGAAATGATGACCTGATAACATTTGGAAGGTTTTGTTATGGAGTGACTGTCATTTTGACATACCCAATAGAATGCTTTGTGACTAGAGAGGTAAGTAAGCTTAATCCCTTTGCCACACTTTACTCAGATGATTCCTGTGTTTACTACAGGGAGATTTATACAGAATTCAGTTCTGCAAACTCCTAAGTGCATGACAAGTAATATAATTTATGCGATTTCATTTTTCAATTATAAAATGTCAGAGTAGAAAGATAAATTATGTTTAGGTGTTTACAAAATAAGCCTTTTCACAACTTGGAGTGGAAATTTTTATATTAGCATGAGGACAAATATTTATATAACTCTGGATATCTATATATCAGAGTGAATGGCTACCTGTAGTACAGTAAGTTTGTGTTTTAAAGGCATTCTTATAAAGAAATTAAGCCCCAAGGCTTAAAGTATGTTTTACAAAATGTTCTTTTGCTGAGGTATTTTATAAAACAACATGTATTTAAGGTACCACAGAACATATTCTAATCATTTTTGTTATATTTTTTAAAATGAAATGTCTTCTTTTCTATTGAAAATCAAGATTTAAGTTACAGCTTTAGTTTTATGAATATAAAACATATGTATTTTATTCATATAAATATGTGTGTTTTTCTAGAACTTAAAGGCAAATGATTTGAATTTATATTGAAATATAAATTGTAAGTTATATAAATATGTCATATATATTTGCATTTTATTAATAAAGTCAACTACAAATTATATGGCCCACCTGGATTTATGGCAGAAGATTAAAAGAAAATGAAAACTTTTTGTATAAAATTGGACTTTTTGTGTAAAATTGGCTGGTCAGGAATCCCTTAGGCAGTCATCTAAAAATCCACTGTGCCGGTTAGCAGTAAAGCACGATCTTGCTTCACAGTGGTTCTTTCAGGAATCACACTGAAAATAGTAGTCTCAGGATCTGTTCCTAGAGGCTGTTTTCCTAGTACATCATGTGAATGAGTCTAATGTGTGAAGTGAAGTCTACAGAGCTTTAAATTTACTAGCTCAACCACAGGCCTCTAGATGCAAGCCAGTGCTCACCTTATACCAATGCTGGGGCTAAGATAGTGTGCACAAAGGGGAAATGGGATAAGGAAATGTTCAGAACTCTTTATGTCCTGTACTGTTAGCATTTTTATTTGTCTACAGATTATAATTCAAAGACCAGTTCTCCACCTTGAACATAGGGAGAAGTAGACTGAAAAAGTAGTTCCTTGATAGAGACTTCTTAATATTTAGAGCCTTTCCAAAGTTGACTATTGTTAGATACAAGCCGTGGTTTTATTTTAGCTTCAGCCCAGTACCTTAGACTCAGATTTGATCTCTAGATCAGCAACAACAGATGGTGCATTCATCTGTGGTTTTTTGGTGGGCTGCTTGTGGACACTCTGAGTCACTTCACCTGCACAGCTTCTGCTGTAGTACTTGGAATGTGAGTTTCTTTTCTAATTACCCTGACAAGAAGACAGAACTAAATCAAGATCTCTGCCCAGATAGCAAATACTAGGCAGAGGAACCTCACTTATACATAATTCATCCACTTCCTTTCTCTTTCACTACTTCATACACACACGCACATGGACACACATTTCATAGCATACTCAATGCCATAGCTATTTATAAAGGTTGCCTACCCAATGTCATTTTCTCTACATAATCCACGTAAGTAATACACACATGTATATGATGGGCATAAAAAACTAACATGCAAGGGGGTTGCATTGTTTGTATAAAAATAAAGTAAATAACCCTCAACAGCCTGTCTCACTAGTTGATTTTCCACAACTGTATCTCAGATAATTGCATAAAATGTATTTCTCATAAGAAAATACTTGAAAAAGGTTATTATAAATTATAAAACCACAAATGAGCATGTTATTAGTATCACCTTAAATTACTGACCCTCTCCTATCATTCCTAACTCTTCCCTCATTGTTCTTTTGAATAGAACCAACACACTATTCAGACTGTCTCCTCTTTGATCTCTATAGGTGTCATTTCTGGTCTTAGCTTTTTGTTCTTTTCCACACTGTTGCTTCAGCTGGGTATTCTACTTTTTCTTATCTAAATCTTACCCATGTTTCAAACAATACCTCAAACCAAGGTAGAAACAACACCTTTCAGGAATGCTTTGCAGCAGGTTACTCTATGGGAGATAGATCCCAGATAGTTAAAACTCCTTCCACTTCTAAATTCCATTTGATCTGTTTTTTTCCCCTTGTGTTAAACTAATCTCTATTTCTTTCATTGTAGGTACTGAGTTGTATTCTATCTTATTAGTATGGTAAGGCCTAAGAGTAGGAGTTTTCTCCTAGATATTAGATCATATTACAGAGTTGTTGCTGTTGTAAAGAGCCTTGGGGTCAGTTCTGACTCATAGCTACCTTATATAGGGTTTCTGAGGAGTGTACAGTGGTTTTGAACTGCCAACCTTGTGGTTAGCAGTCAAATGTTTATCCTACAATGTTACACCAGAGGGAATATGTAAAATATGTAAATATTGTTTGATTCCCTAACCTGATTATCTTTGGAAATTGAATAACTCCTCTATTTTTGTTGAATAAAGGAACTCTGGTAGCTTAGTGATTATGAGTTGGACTGCTAACCTCAAGGTCAGCAGTTCAAAACTAAAAGCTAGTCTGCAGGAGAAAGATGAGGCTTTTTGCTCTCCTCAGAAACCCTTATACAGGGTCACTATGAGTTGGAAATGACTCCATGACACACAACCACCACCACCAAAGGCAAGATCAAATAGATTTGAATTGCAATAAAATTTTATACTTTATATAAATTTTGAAGCTTACATAAAATTAATTTCCTACTAGTAAAGGATATAACAAGGAGACCTGGTAGAATGGTGAAACCCTCAGCTACTAAGGTTTGAGCCCACTCTGTGACTCTACAGGAAAGACTCTACGGCAGTGTGTTTCCATAAAGATTATTGTTGTTGCTATTAAGTGCCATCAGGTCATTTCCAACCCATAGCCACCCTGCATAGGGTTTCCAAAGAGCAGCTGGTGAGCTTGAACCACTGACCTTGTGGTTCAAACCGACTTTGCAGTCCAGCGCATTAACCCATAGCACCACACCAGGACTCCATTCCATAAAAATCACAGCCTAGAAAATGCTAGGGAACAGTTCTACTCTGCTGCAAGGGGTGGATGTGAGTCAAAAATAGACTCAATGGCAGCTAACAACAACAAAGGCTATTGTACATCTATTATTATTAAAGGAAATTGCGGTAACTCCTTCCTTCTAAATATTATCTGTAGTTTGTTTTAGGGGTAATCTTGTAGGAATTAAGTAAAAAGTATAAAATAGTTTCTAAATTCCCTTATACTCATGTTTCATCTATTCAAGCATTAGTATTCCATTTTCAATTCTGTTTCCACTAACTTTAATAGTTGAACAAAGAAAGTTCATTATTGTAAGTGTCTATATATAAGTACAGTGGAAAATTTATAAGATTCTTAGTGACTTAAGATTTTATTGTCTCATTCATATAGTATCTTATATAGTCTTAAGTACTATAATAAGAAACAATTAGTAAGACCTGAATGCTTTGGAAAATCTCTCTGAAAATACTTTGTTTATTTGACAGGTAATTGCCAATGTATTTTTTGGTGGGAACCTTTCTACAGCTTTCCACATTATTATAACTGTGGTTATCATTACTGTGGCCACACTTGTGTCTTTGCTCATTGACTGCCTTGGGATTGTTTTAGAACTCAATGTAAGTACATTTAAGCTTCATTCTCTCCATTTAAAAATAAGCCCTTTTAAAATATTGTCTATATTTAACATAAAATATATTTTCCCTTTAAAATAATGTCACTTTCTGAGTGGAATGTAATACTTGTAGGTAGTAGTAAATATTGATAAAATAGCATACACTGTATAAGACTTTATACTTTTAAACAAACAGTTCTTAAATAGAAGGGCCCCTATAACAAGGGACATTTGATAATGTCTGGAGACTTTATGTGTTACAACTAGGTAGGGTACTACTGCATCTAGTGATTAGAGACCATGGATGCTGCTAAAAATTATCTCTCAGTGCACAAGACAGTACCCACAACAAGGAATTGCCTGATCATAAGGTCAACAATGCTAAGTTTTAGAAATTCTGGTCTAAAGCATGTTTATACATCATAATTAATACAATACATGTTGTTGTTGTAAAGTATCAAGTCGGTTCAGACTCATACCGACCCTGTATAGACTGGTGGCTTTGAACTGCCGACCTCACAGTTCAAACTGACCTTTCGGTACTTATCTTACAACATCACATAAGGACTCCAGTATAATACTAACAACAACAACAAGCTATAAATTAAATGGATCTGAACTTTTCTTTGCCTATTAAAAATAACTTTAGTGAGATTCATTTAAAAATATGTGCATGCGCATTTTATAATTGTCAAAAGGTGGAAAACACCTAAATGTCTATTAACTGATGAGTGGCTAAACAAAACATGGTATATACATGCGATGGAATAATGCTCAGCCATAAAGAGAAATGAAGTCCTGATACATGCTATAGCATGGACGAACCTTGAAAACATGCTGAATGAAGTAACTCCATCTCAGCCCTTACAGAATTTCTACTAAGAATTACACCACTTAGCATTTATTAGTCACGGGCCACAGGGAGGGCAGACTTTTACAGTGAGCTTATGAAGTATCATTTACTCATTCCACTGAGAGTTGAGGAAGAAGTCAAAGACACTACTATCATTACTTAATTCGCTCTTCCCTCCAGATGCCAATTTGATTTGAATTTCCAGACAAAAGCTGTTAGAGATTTAGCCACAAACACACTGTTCTTGTAACAGATTAAGTAGGAAGTAGGGAGTAGATAACCTCCATATAGTAGACAGTTTTCCAAAACATTCGGGGTCTGGGAAATTGTCTACTCTATAAACAATGGAGAGAAAACTGGTAGGAGACACGGACAAACATCAAAGGTAATTTTTAGCTGTTTCCTAATTCTTCATAAAGCAAAGGCTATTAAGTCCACTCAAAATCATTTCATGTATCAACTTGGATTTGTGTGAGTGGATGACTGCTACCTTAAATCACTGTCTTGCATTGTGTGTTATTTCATATCATGTGATGTTGTTAAGTGCCGTTGAGTTGCTTCTGACTCATAGAGACCCTGTATAGGGTTTCAGAGGAGCAGCTGGTGGGTTTGAACTGCCGACCTTGTAGTTCACAATCCAGTGCTGATCCTTCTGCACCACACCAGGAGTCCTTCATATTAGGTACTGCTAGGAAAATCCACAGCTTGCCTATTAAATTGTAAGGTTTTGGAAGACAAGAATGGCAGCTTCTAGCATGGTACTAAGAACATAATATTGAATTCAAAACCTATTTCTGTAGATGCTCCTGGACATAAAAGATATTCTTTAGTGTGGCACCAGGAAATTAAGTGTCACACAAAAAAATTGTTGGTATTGGCAATATCAGTGACCCAGCAACTATGCTGTGAAGATAATAGATGTAATTATTGCTGACTCTATTACTTGTTATTTTGGGAAATTTGTCATTTGAGTTCATTTTTTGTTGTTGTTAATTTTTTTTCTACTTTTTTTTTTAATTGTAGGATTTGGTTATGCGAGAAATATGTTTATCAACTTCCTATGGTTAAGATAGAATTCTAGTACTGTAATCAGAGAGAGAAAGTTTTTATTTTTTATAAAGCCATTATCTGAGCTAGCAGTGAAGGATTGTTTTTTAAAATGTAAAACATGGTTCTAGATCCTTTGATATTTAATGGATCTTGTACATAACATACTCTTATATCTATTCTCTGTCAGACCACGTAAGCATACTAGGGAGCTTCAAAACATTGGTGAAATTTTTCATTATCTTTAAATTTCATTTTTCCATGAACTTTTGAAGTCCCCTTATATGTGCTTTTCCCATCAACAAAAACAGTCTAGAATGCACAATAATATATTCAAGTCTGTATGCAACTCCCTTTTGTGTGGGCATTTACCATGTCTACTGTTGTTGTTAATTGCTGTCAAGTAGGTTCCAATTCATAGTAGCCCTGTATACCGTTTCTGGGAGTCCTGGTGTAGTACTGTGGGTTAATGTGCTGAACTGCAAAGTCAGTTTGATATACAAGTTTGGCAGTTCAAACTCACTAGCTGCTCCTCGGAAACCCTATGCAGGGTCACTATGGGTCAACAACAACAATAGGGTTTCTGAGGAGCAGTTGGTGAGCTTGAACCACTGACCTTGTAGTCCAGCCCATAAACCTGCAGCACCATGTGTAATAGAGCCAGATTAAACACTATTCTTGTCTGTCTCCAATGCAAGCTACAGTCATGCAACACATTGTTGTTGTTGTTGTTGTTGTTAAGTGCCGTCGAGTCGGTTTCCGACCCATAGCGACCCTGTACAGGGTTTCCGAGGGTGTAAATCTTTACGGGAGTAGAAAGCCTCATCGTTCTTCGGCAGAGCGGCTGGTAGTTTCGAACCACTTACCTTAAGGTTTGCAGCCCGATTCGTAACCACTACACTACCAGAGCTATGCCCCATTTCATAATGATAATGAGAACATGTATTGAGTACAACTGTATATCAAATTATTTTCATGTCCTGGTATAATGCTGTGGGTTAATGCATTGGACTTAAAAGTCGGTTTGAACTACAAGATTGGTGGTTCAAACTCACCAACTGTTCCTCAGAAACCCTACATAGGGTCACTATGGGTTGAAACCAACTTGACAGCACTTGACAACACCAAATCCCCCTTAGTTGTTTCAACAATGGGCACAAACATAGCAACAATTGTGAGGATGTCAAAGGGCTGGACAGTGTTTCATTCTGTTGTACATAGGTGCACTGTAAGAACCAACTCGATGGCACCTAACAACATCTCCCTTAATATGTATTAATTTTACAATGAAGAAACTGAGGCACAGAAGGATTAAATACATAATTTGAGGTCACACAACTTATAAATGGTGGATACAGATATTTAGATGCTGTAGACCCATTTTTAATCATTATGCTAGTTTGTGATCTCCTAAGTATAAAGCTTTACATTATGTAAAATAGTTGTGTCAATTTCTCTATCCATTTGTTTAAGCTAGAAATCTATGCATTGAGTTTATAAGTAAGATTAAGAGTAATACTTAGATAATTAAGGATTCCTTAGACTAGTAATGGGTAGACTCTAATACAGGGTTTAAATAATGATGAAATAGCTTCAAGAAAATGGAATTAAAAGTTTTTCATGTTAATTAATAATTTGTAGTTAATAGCTAATAATTGTAGTACATCAGAAATTTTTGTGTGCATGTGTGGTTTTGATTTATTACTAAGTAGAATGAGACGAGACATATAATCAAATCAGATCTTCAATTTGCAAAGCTAAGCAAATGCTGCTGTACAGCAAAACAAAAATTAAACAAGAGAAATGTTGTGGAGTTTTTTGGCTTTTCAATAAAAAGCAAAACAGCATTCAGACCTTTACTTCCCTTTTATTTATTTATTTTTCCACTACATATTTTTCCAAAGCAAGCATATCCTTAATTTAAAAAGATTCGTTTTAGAAATAAATAAAATAAATATGTCTCATTCTTAGTAATATGAATTCAGCACCTTGGCACCGATGTCACTATTAGACAGAATTGGATTTCTACTTAGAGCAGTAAAGAGAAAAAAAAAATAGAGCAGCTGGCACCTGTGGCCAGAGTAATGGGTCCAACAAGCACTGTGTGCAGTTTACAGTGGGAGGAAGAAATCCAATTCCCCACCAAGAGCTCAATGTATAAATACCAGTCAACAGAGTAAGCAAAGCTGTAGTCCAAGTTACCAAAGATCTCCTGTGCTAAAGAGTTTCTTTTTAAGGTATAGGAACACGTTTTGTGAGTCTGAACTGATTAATAGATTACAAAATTGAAACTGGAAGATGTGCAAACATTATTTTATTTAGTTTTCAGGTTCCTAGAATCATTGAGAGATTTCTATCCATTTAGGAGAATTCAGACACCTTTTCTATCTCTACTTCCAATTAAAAAAAAAAAACTTCCGACAGCCTCTTGTTTGTTTATATATATTTATTCCTACTGTAAACTTCAAAATGCTCTGTGAGTAGAAAAATCAAATTCCCACTTCTCTTCCACTTCTACTATGCCTCCAGCTCTATCAGACCCAAACTTAGGTCAAATATCACAAGTGAAAGAATACAGTCCTCCAGACTACCATGTCTGCCCAAGACTTCAGACACCAGGCACAAGCTTAGGAGTCCATGCAACTAACCTGTTAGCTGCAACTCCAGGAATGTACTCTATCGTGCAGGATGGCAGCCATAAGCTCAGGAGTCCTAGCACCTCACTTCTGACCTCCTGGCTCCCATTACTCCCTTGGTTCTATAATTCAGTAGAACAGTTTACAAAACTCACAGAAAGCACCATGCTAAAAGTTATTGCGACAGAAAGGAGACAATCCAGGGTCATTACAGAGAAGATATGCATGACATGCTGTCTGAGAGGGCCCTAAAATGGAGCTTCCATATCTCAAAAAGGCTGCATCATCTTCTCAAATAGCCATGTCTTTGACAGGAAGTCCATGGAGTTTCTGTGTCCAGAGCCTTTATTGGGATCTCTTTATGAAGGTATTATTGATTGAATGCCCTGAGGCTGACTGAATCATAAAATGATCTTTCTGGCTTGGCCAGCCCCCACCTAAGAGGTACCTTGTTAACATAATCTGGAAGACATTTCAATCACTGGGGCAATTCCAAGGTTTTAGAGATTCTCGTGCTAGAACTAAAGACAAAAGTCAAATTCTTTGGGGAAATTTAACCCCAAACCCTGACATCAATCTTGTTATTATCAATGAATAGTGTTATCCTGTCTTTATAAATAAGATTGTATTTTATTGCCTCTTTAATACACAGTCATGTTGTTTACATTCTGTCAATTTCAAAATGTTTTCTAAACCAGTGGTACACCCATAAACAAGGCTACAGTAAGTGGATTAAATAAAGTAGACTGACTTCACTGCAAAGCATATAGAGGCATGATCAGAGGAGATCTCATTATCATTTTAGTGAGGATCACAGGTCTTAGCAAACAAAGTCTAGTACGACTGAGCTTTCAAATACCAACCAAGAAATTGGTATCTAGACAAGATACACAACTGGGCTTCTTCCAGTATAAACATCAGCTATATAGTTTTCCCTCTAATTGCTACTTTCTCAACTCTTAAGAATTATAGCATAAACAGAACACCCATTGCTTTGCGCTGCCCAGCAAGTTAGGTTTGGAAGAGTCCCAGAATGCTGACTGATGATGAGCGCCTCTTGGTAGCAGCTGGTCACAGTTCTCATTCTGATAGTACTGTCACACTTCGACACTTTCAGATGAAGCCCCTCACATATGTTCATTCCTATACAGAGGGTTACTTTTTGACGTTTCAAATTTTCTTAATTCAAAGAAGTCAGTGGGTAATAATCCTTAATATAAACAGAAGTTGAATTCTATTGTACTTTCTATAACTTAACAGTACTTTTTGTGCTTAAAAAGCATGCTACCATCAAGTTTCATGCTGATGTTGTTGTTAAGTGCCATCGAGTCAGTTCTGACTCATAGCTAACCTGTACAGGGCTCCTGAGGCTTCTGAGGCTTTCTCCCACAGAGCAGCTAGCAGGCTCAAACAGCAGAGCTTGTGGTTCACAGTCCAGTGCTTAGCGTCTGGAGCCACCACTCCCCATGATCGAGGCTATGAAATCTATAATCCCTTTAATTCCACTTCATATGAAAGTTAATCTTGTATTCACTGTGTACCTTTGTAGGTATCCATTTGTATTCAGGTGCTATGACTGATGAACACATATTTTCCATATATCTGACTTTAGAATGCAATTTTGGGATCTATTAGTTAGTATTTTCTTGTTCATATATCTCTGACTGTAGAAATGTTTTCTATGCAGTGTGAACTTCCCATGTTTTTAGATGCTACCCGGCTAGCCTCCTTTCATAATGGTTTCTTGTCATAGATTCCATTCCAATTCATAATAAACCTATGTTGTTGTTGTTGTTGTTGTTGTTAAGTGCCATCGAGTTGGTTCCAGCTCACAGTGACTATGAATAAGGTTTCTGAGAAGCAACTGGTAGGTTTGAGCCACAAACCTGTGGCTCACAGTCCAGTGCTGATCCTACAGGACCACACGAGGAGTCCATAATAATCCTATAGGACAGAGTAAAACTATCCTATAGGTTTCCAAGGTTGTAAATGTTTATAGAAGTAGACTGCCCCATCTTTCTCCATGGAGCAGCTGTGAATTTTAACTGCCAATCTTTTGCTTCACAGTCAAGTGCTTTAGCCGCTGTGTCACCAGTGCTCCTCATAGGCAGCACAGTTGTTGTTGTTGTTAAGTGCTGTGAAGTTTATTCCAACTCATAAGGACTCTGTATAAGGTTTCCAACATTGCAAACATTTGTGGGAGCAGAAAACCTCATCTTTCTCCCTCAGAGTGACTGATGGGCTCAAACTCTTGACCTTGTGGTTCCCAGTCCATTGCTTAACCCACAGAGACACTGCACTCCCATACAACTGACCATTATTTTCAGTCTGACATTCCTCCTTAGGTTGGATCTAATGTGGGGGAGGATGAATGAGTCACAGTTAGCTCTGCTGTCAGTTTCCTGGAGTAATTAATGTTTTTTTGTCTTATTTGAAAGAAAATTTAGAAATGCTATTTCATGTTGAATGCCTTTAGGGCTAACGGTTTTCCTCTCTCATTCAAATAAGTTTCTACTTTCATCCAAACGAGTCAGCTAGGATTTAAACAACATACCAAATCCACTGTCATTTGAAGTAAAAGAAGACAATGAGGAAATATGATGTGCATGAAAGTATGTGACATTCCGAGAGTTTGCCCCAAATTGACCTTGTTGTTGTTGTTGTGAAGTGCTGTTGAGTTGGTTCCGACACATAGCGACCATGTGTAGGGTTTTTGAGGAGCAGCTGGTGAGCTTGAACCACCGAACTTGCAGTTCAAACGGCTTTGCCGTCTGGGACATTAACCCACAGCGCATCTTCTTTATTTTCTATATTATTCTCTGATCATCTTTTTAAGTCTGGAACACTGTGATGCCATTTTCCTTTTTAGTTTATTTGTATGCAAAAATATACCATCAGAAAAAAAGGAAAACCTACTTCTAAATCATTTTGTTTGTTTGATTCAACTGAACCTATTAAATGTTTAATATTTGCAGTAACAAGTACATTTTTCAAAACTGTCCAAAGAGTGTTTCTATCTGGTAAAATGATCTTGTTTCTTGTTTTCCACACACAGGGTGTGCTCTGTGCAGCTCCTCTAATTTTTATCATTCCATCAGCATGCTATCTAAAACTGTCTGAAGAGCCAAGGACACACTCTGATAAGATTATGTCCTGTGTCATGCTTCTTGTTGGTGCTGTGGTGATGGTTGTTGGGTTCCTCATGGCCGTTGCACATCCTCAAGACTGCACCCATGGACAGGAAATGTTCTACTGCTTTCCTGGCAATTTCTCCTTCACGAACATGTCCACTTCTCATTTCCAACTGACAACACAACTTTCCATTTTAAACATCAGTATCTTTCAGTAAGCTGACTACTGTAAACAATATACATGTTTTCATGGACTTCTAAAATATATCATTTATACTCATTTTAGTCTCTATTTATATTATCAAATTATCATGATAACATTTAGGAAGACTTAGTTTTCTTCATTGTGTAGTGAGATAGAAGAAATAAAATTTAATGTATTTTCTCTTAAACTAGAACAAAATTAATGTTTTATTTTAAAGACTTCATTGCAGAAGGAAAAGCGAGGTTTGTGGCATTTGCTACCACTCCTGCCCCCAAGCATTACCCTTTTATTTAATGTATAAGTGAACATGCTGCTTCCAAAATAAGTAACCAATTTGTAAAATCCATTCTCCTTAAAAATCTATGAGTCCATGGGAAAAGAAAACAAAAATATGAAAAGGAATAGTGTGGTGCAGTGAGATACTTAATAATCTGTTTATTCATCCAATGAGTATGCCCTATATAAGTCATGACAGATACGATAATCAACAAGAGCACCCATTTACCCTTGTTACTGCAAAACAAAGCAATAATTTGAGAAGCACAGTTTCCCCACATGGGTCTTCCAGATGCAAGAAACAGAAGTGTGAGTCATAGGATCAGAATAGGCTGTGCTGGGTGAAGAACTGTATCCTGAGCATTCCTCAACCTCAATCATAACCTGGTACTTCCCTAATAAACACCATAGCTGTGAGCTCAGTCTGTGGGTTCTCTGTGGCCACTGCAGCCAATATAGAACCCGGCAGAGAAGTAGACAGTGCTATGAAAGGAATGGGTGCTATCCAAATTTGTACCTCCATCTCATAGGCATTAGTCTTGGACTGTTGACCTCCCCTCTTGCTAAGTTAGAGGAGATCAAATGCCTCTGCCACCATGCTATTTTTACAAGCAAAGAGAGCTTCCATTATCATTTCAGCAGTTAGCTCTTGCTTAGAGGAAAGTAAATCCCTTGAGACGTGAGCTAAGTCCTCCCCCACATTGGAAAGCATGAATAATAGGCTGAATGGACTGAGCAAAGTGTGTGAGGAGTCAAAATTACTCCCAAAGTTTTATCCTGTGAGAGTACCATAGCAGTGCCGTTGTAAAAGACAATAAAATGGGAAAGCACATATACAAGTTGTTCTGAGGCATAAGTCTAAGTGATCAGTTATGCATTTGATTTGGACTAGTTGCATTTGACAACTGGAATTTCAAAGAAGCAAGTTGAAAGAATCAAGCCTATGCAAGAGGCATTTTCCCTCCTCTGGGAGATTCTCAGAAACATTATTGGAGCTGTCTTTGGCTGGGTTCTCCAGAAGCAAACGCTAAGATGGAGTTTGGCATGTGGAGCATTTACTGTTGTTGTTGTTGTTGTTAAGTGCTGTCGAGTTGGTTCTGACCCATAGTGACCCTGAACAGGGTTTCCGAGGCTGTAAATCTTTACGGGAGCAGAAAGCCTCATCTTTCTCCTGCGGAGCAGCTGGTAGTTTCGAACTGCTGAGCTTGAGGTTCACAGCCTGGAGCATTTACTAGGGATCATAAATAATGGGAGAGGGTGGGAAAATAGAATAGGGTTGAAGAAGGTAGGAGAAGTGTAATTGCCATCCATACTGATGTCTCTGTCAACCTCACAGGGAGTTCTGGACCACATACAGCTCATCAGAGTGGTCCTTGTTCAGGTGAAATAGTTCTATTAATCATTGTATGTGAATATCCAGAGGGACAAGTTCTTTGGCTAGGTAACATTTTGCAGCTGAACAAACCCTGAAGGAGCTGAGAGCTGGATGCTACATTAGAGAGGATATGAGAGTCACATCTGTTTCTACTGCCGAAGGTTAACAGTTCTAAATGAAGGCTTATAATTTTCATGTACTCTTATCTATGACAATCTTTAAAAAGTAGAATAAATGTAAAAATTATTGGAGGGGCAAATGTTACATATATTCATACACAATTTTAAAAATGTTAAGCAACAGAATATTAGGAACCATCTGCGTGTCCAAATTATATCAAATAGTGCCCAAGTTTTATTGTCAAGCTTTGCATTTATATTTATAATCAGATTGATGATGCCTAGTACTATTTTGTTGCCTACTAATGAGAAAATTTAACAAGTCAATACATAAGTGATGTGTTTGTCCAGATCACATAAAAAAAAAATCCCACAGGAAGTGAATAAAGAATAGTCTCACAGAATCTTGACTAGAAATGATGAGAGCTCATAGCAAAAAAAAATTTAAAGTCCTAGTGGACACAAATAGTGACCTACACCTTGGCAGTCAGAACCATGCTTAGGTTTTGAGTGATGATTTTTGTTTCAATAAAACACTAGCTGTGCCTCTAAATGGATTTCAATTCCATTAGTTATAAAGGCTTTCTGTATATAACTTATAAATTTGTTTTTGATAAGTGCGTAAGAGTCATAAGGTTAAGCATGATTTCAGATTTGTACATATTTAAGAAATGATATTAATGGCAAAGCAATATTAATTTTGAGCTGAGAAAACTAAGGAACTGTCACAGCACTCCATCCCTACATTGCTATGACTGAGAAACACTAACCTACATAGTTATTAGATAACGTCCTAGGGTGGTAAAAAGAGAAGTACATCAAGGATTGGTTGAAGTTAAGTGTCATCTGGTCAGTTCTGACTCATAGTGACCCTGTATAAGGTTACCGAGGCTTTAAATCTTGGTAGAGAAGAAAGCCTCATCTTTACCTTTAGTAAAACTTTACTCGCATGGGATATCAAAGATATTGTCCCATGATTTCCGCATTCCACAACCTAATAAATATGTTTTTGTTGTTGTTGTTGTTTTGAGAGTCCAAAATAAGCCTTTATATTTATGGTCAACTGATTTTTTTTTTTTTTAATGTTTTATTGTTGTTTTTTAAATCAACTATAGATCAAGGCTATCTTTGACCCAGTTAGCTGCATAAACTGATAATCAACATCTTTCATATTGTTCTTGTTGTTGTGTGCCGTGGAGTTGTTCCGACTCATAGCGACCCTGTACAGGGTTTACGAGGCTGTAAATCTGTACCGGAGCAGAATGCCTCATCTTTCTCCTGTGGAGCAGCTGGTAGTTTCGAACTGCTGACCTTGTGGCTCACAGCCCAATTCGTAACCACTATGCTACCAAAGCTCTTTCATATTATGATAAAGTAAATCTTCCTAAGGTACTCATACTGTGAAATCATTCAGGAGTATCTAGTACAACTTTTCTATCTTCTGCTTCAATTTATTAAGCTATTATTACTGAAATTTGTTTTGTTTCCACCACTTCTCATTTTTAACAACACAACTTGAATGTTTTAAACCTTTTTTTTAAGCTGTCACTTGCAAAGTAATGCGCAATTTAAAAAATATGTAAACACAAATGCAAAAAAACTAGTAACACATTTCTTTGAAGGACATAGTTTAATAGCAGCTGTATACTTTTTGAAATGGGTCCATGTCCACTTATAATACCATCTTTAATCTCAATCCTAATTTGAAATATTTTGGAAAATTAGGATGGGAAAACTGCCTTGCCTCTGAGGTATTTTCATTGGTGCCTATCACTTTTCCAAAATGGACTCTGAAATCCAAGCTATTCAACTAATAAAATCCTTATTAGTACACATCCACTTAATTAAAGATTAATTTATGAGACAGGATCAGGCTTTTTTTTTTTTTTTTTTTTCTCCAAGTAAACACTGCTAGTTTTTTAAGCAGGAGTGGCTACTGATTGGAGCTGTTGTTATTTTGTAATCTTAGAGTGACTCAAGCTGGAATCAGTCAGTGACCATGAGGTTGTTGTTGTTAAGTGCCATCAAGTTGGTTCTGATTCATAGCAACCCAATGTTAGCACCCAATGTAGGGTTTCAGAGGGACAGCTGGTGGATATGAAATGCCAGCCTTTCAGTTAGCAGTCCAGTGCTGATCCTACAGCGCCACACCAGGATTCCATGACCATGAGTTAGAGTGCCTATAAATGCTTTACCAATTGTTGAGAGATTATAATTAGCTACATCAATCAGTCAGTATCCATACTCATTCTGAAAAGTATGTAAAAGATTTGCCAGGATAAGAGAACAGAAATACCATGAGATTAAAAAAAAAAAAAAAAAAAAAAAAAAGACATGTTGGCCCAGAAAGGAAGAAAAGTACAGTGATCCCTTGAACAACAATTGTTAACTTTCAGTATCAGAATCACCAGAAGAGCTTGTTCAGGAACAGATTGCTGAACCTCACACCCATTGTTTCTTACTAAGGACTTCTGGGGTGGGGCACGAGAATCTGAATTTCTAACAATTCCCAGGTAATGATTACCTACTAGTTCAGGGACTACATTTGAATATGGCTTAGGTGGTTGGACCTAAGAGAGGTGCTAAGTGGAGCCATCTGTTTAGAAGCCGGGCAGAAGACATGGAAATACTATGCAGATGCTCAGGGAAGAAATTGAGCCTGGAGACACACTAGAGAGACCTGCTGGCACATATCATATGTACTTTTCCTTGACCTCTTGGAAAAATCATTTAAAGACACAGGCAGAGTGGAGAGGGGAGAGAAAAGATCAAGGAAGTACAACTGCTATTAAATCTTCAGCAAAGCAGAAAAAGCCTCATCACCTTGTGATTTGCAATCTAGTGCTTATCTTATGGACCCACTGTGCTTCCAAGACAGTATGATTAATGACAACTAAGGAGTCCTGGTGTAGCACTGTAGGATAAGCACTGGACTGCTAACCACAAGATCAGTGGTTCAAACCCACCAGCCACTATTTGGAAACCATATACAGACTCGAAGGCACATAACAATACCAACAATAATATGGGAGGGAGTGCCTGGATGGGGCAAAGAATCGAGTAGCTGCTAAGCAAAAGTTGATGGTTCAAGTCTACCCAGAGGTATCCTGAAAGAAATGCCTGGAGATCTACCCCCAAGAAATCTTCCACTGAAAACCCAGTGGATCACAGTTCTGTTTTAACACATATGAGGGCACCACAGTTGGAATCTAGGCAGTGGTAACTGGTTTGTAATAAAAAGGA